AATACCTATATTTTAATTATAAATATTAATTGCATTGTTGAGAAATCAAGTAACGCTCAATTATTTGCAAATTTTATTTCTAAAATTTTTATGAGTCATATCTGCGTACATCTCTACAATTTTTCTTTAGTATCTATTTAGACATGCGCAATTTAATTGCTTATATCACCGGCGAGAGTGTATGCAAATAATAATTTCGTAATTTATATGCATAGACAATTAGAAAAACCTGTGATTGTCGGACTATGCAATTAAGTGAAATCTAGAAGAATCTAATAAGACACCTGTGATTGCATCATATACGTAATATAAACAGAAAGTAGACAGAAATACCACAAAATTGCTGGAAACCAAAATAATTGCAATTTTCGTAATTTCGTTTATCAGCTTTCCTTCCTCCTCGTTGAGAATCGAAACCTCAATATAGCAAACGTGTCATTTACGTCGTATTATTTAATTTCTCGTGGACGCGTTGTATTGGAAAAAGCGAGATTATGTATGCGAACGAGCCAAGTGTTACGAGGACAAATTTCTACACTTCGTGGAGAGCGTTTCCGCGCTCGCTTTATGAGGCTATCGGGTGTCGTGAAAGTCTATTCCAGAATTTCACATTTTTGAACGACTAAAAAACGAAAAAACGTATCTTTGTCTTCACGCGAAGATTGATCGTTTCAGCTCTGAAGAGAGAGTTCTCTCCATGAGAGAAGAACAATTTTTACACTTGATTAATCATCAACCATTTCTTATGGAAATTCTTTATGGAATTTATCTAGATTGAAAACCCAGATTTGTAATGATCTGATAAATCTATCCTAGAAACGTATCTTTTATCTAAAAAAATAATGATTCTGATTTTGAGAATGTAAATTATAGTTTTTTTTTTTCATAAATTTGAGACGCCGTATGCGTTTCGCGCGCGTAGACATATTATAAATTCCAAATTATATGTGAAATGATACGAATATGGTAACAACGTTATAATTGAACACGGAAATAATTACATTCGCAAAATTTAAAAAGATAAATTATGTATGCCATGATTTTACATTTTAAATTGAACCAGCTAAAAAGAAACTGCTACTTGTGGCTAACTCGTTTTTAACATAATTTAGTAGCTGCAAGATAAACGCCCGTCTTTCGTGGCCAAGCGTTTTCATCGACGAGATTAAAGTGCCATGGCGCACTTTAAAATTGCATTCGCCGCCGTGGAATTACGCGAGATCTAATTACGCGCTCAGCTGAACGAGGCGTTTCGCACTCATAGAGTGAATTAAATGTTACCAAGGCAAACGTCATGAATGGTATCACGTTGTGTCCCACCACAATTCGCGCGATTATTTTTTGCACATGTTAAATTAGAGTTTTCTAGGCGTATCGCATCTATCCGTATCATCGTTTACTACTTCCCGCCGTAAACCGGCTCCAACGATTCGTTTATACTCGAAAGACTCATAAATGGGACGCATGTTAGTCGAAATCGATTTTGCGAATTATAAAAGACCTCGATCGCGACGAATCGAATCACCGACGCAGATACAAACTTTAGTACTCACAAAACAAATGAAACATAAGATATCAATTATTGATCAATTCTTTAATGAATTCTAAATACATCTATAATAATCTATAATAATACAATAATCGTGGTTAAAGTGATATAATATTGACAACACGACGTTATTATGTCAAATGTGTTATCTAAACACACATGTACATTGCACGCACATGACCTTGGATTGTGCAAATTCTGAGGTCACGGACGCTTATCTAAATGTATTCGCATTGCTTTATTTATTACTGATATTTCCCTCCCAAAACGCGGATACGAGGTCTATCGCGACTAATCAGCGATAATCGAGATCGATAAGCTATCAGATAATGTGGCACGACAGCGTGTGTAAAAAAGATAACTGAGGAGCACATATATGTACATTCTTTTGAATTATTAATCATCAATGGGTCGAGTCTCACAAGGACGGATTTGCGTTTTATCTTTATTTATTTTTCTTCTTTTTATCTTTGTCTATGCACTCGAAATGCTAGAGGTTTTAATTTTGAAAAATATTGCATACAAAAATTTTAGAGGAATCTATAACATACGTAACATATAAAATAATATTTTCGTACATTGTCATGCATGCGATATTTTTCTAGAATACCGCTCTGATTGTCTTCGTTATCTCGATTTAATTTGTATGGTCGTATCGCACAAATTAAAGTTTAATATTAATTTAAAAAATTAAATTAAAAATTAAATTTCACACTTTTGGAACAAATTATAATTTTTTTAAATATATTAACGAATATATATATATATATATATACAAAGAATCCTAAACGCATTTGTCACGAATTCGAAAATTGGACTCGTTATAAGAGTGATACTTTAATATAAATGTGATTCTTGCGGTGTTACTTTTTTCAAATGTAACTCCAACCGATATGACATGAAAGCATCGTATCGCGTTACAAGCTTATCTATCGATTTTCGCAAAATACTCCGCCCGCGTTTGCATTATAGATGCAGCCGCTTGTTGCATTGTACAACAATACTTGCGGAACAAAGTTCACTGCTATTCACGCATTATAAAGTATTTTTGTTATTGATTCTCTAACTGTAAGACAAAAGATGCCTTAAGTTCCGGAAGCAGCAATGGTAATATTGCATAATTGCACAAAGCTCTTTTGAAGTTTCTGTAGAAAATTTCTGTTAAAAATTTGAAGGAAGAATTTTATTAAAAAGTTGTAAAAGAGATTCTCGTTAATGAGAAAAATAATTTATTTCTGATCAACCCCCTAGCAATTTAATTTAGGAATTCCGCGATTAAAAAGAAAAGAAAAGTCATTCTATAATATTCATTACGCAAGCTTAACAATCCAAGTATTTTATCATCTTTAATAACAGTTTTACTTCATACAATCCAAGAATCACTTGGAATAAAATCACTGATTTGCGAAAGCGTAACGTGCCTGTAACACGCGATGTCAACAACTGTAACAACAGTTTTGACATTCCTCGACGTTCTGGTGATATCAACGATTCTGGCAACGTAGCCAATGCTCAGCCAATTCCGATGTCAGTCGCAATTCCCTCTGTTGAAGGTATACGCGGCGAATAAAGGAGCACACACCGAGCGACGGCCCCGAGCAAGTGGCAAGCGGTTTCGCAATCGCGAAATCAAGGCGCGTCAACGGTATGCGAAGGGTAACCCCGAGATAACCCTGCAAGCAGTCATTCGTGAATTCTTCATACCGTTATCCCCAGCGACGACAGTCAGAATGAAAGAGGTCACAAAATTGTCACGTGCGAAAATTCCTTTTCTCTTTTCGCTCTTTTCAGAAAATTTACAACAGCTAGTAGTAATCTTAACGGGGACGATAAGAAGATATATCATTCATATAGCATAATGGTATTTACAAACGAACCGACAAACGAACAACGTATTCTAGCGATGAATAATTATGGCGACAGTAATAATTATCGCGTGACGCTTTCAGTGGAAAAATAGCTTAATAAATCAAAGAGCTCGGAGTAACGGCGTGATAAGTGACACGACAAAATAGTTATATACAACAGGAAAAGACATTTGCACATGTTTGTTCACGATGATACGTAATTCTTAAAAACTGCACTGAAAAAAAGATATTATATTTATTAAAAAAAATTTATAATAATATATTTATTAAAATTGATATTTTTTTTCAGTGTACGACATATAAAAAAAAACTTAAACAAGTAAGCAATATTTTGAAATATGTGCTTATGTATTGTGATATTGTGCCTTATGTCTTTTAAGTCCTGTCTACAATTGGAATAATATTGTATAATAAGCAGTAAGAAAATGTAAGAAACTAACCAATCATAAATCGATCGTTTCCCTTACATTCGACTATGATTGGTCAATTTCTTTTAGCTTACAACTTACAACACCACTTATTACTTCCGTTGTAAACGGTCCTTTATAAGCTTTCTACAATAAGTCGTTACTTAAACTTTAAGTCTCAAGAAATCGACCAACCATAATCGATTATTCTTCTCACATTCGACTGTGATTGGTTAATGTCTTATGATTTAAGATTTAAAACTTAGCTTATGGTAGAAAGCCCATTATGATCGACCGAGTCGTTTACTGCGGCGAAGATCTCGCATTTATTCCTTCATTTATTTCGCATCGTGCTAATTACGGAATTTTCTAATTATTCTGTAAAATATACTCGCGACCAATCTCGTTCTTACGAACAATCGCACGGTGTCTTTGGCCGTGAGCGCGAACGCGCGAGAGAGCGCGACCTTATTCCGACGACAAGCGCACGCGTTCCCGTCTTCCCGATCCCGTTGCATCGGTGCGGTGCAACGCCGAGTGGCGTCAGATGCAACGCGAGGACGATCGCAACGAACCGTCGCGGGGATCACTGTAGGGAGCGGCGTCAAAAAAGGTCTAGACTTGGATCCCAGACGTGGGATTTCCCCGACCGGATTTTTTCTCTCCCTTTCTTTCTCTCATTGTCCCTCTCTATTTCTCTCTGTCCCCTCCTCCCTCTCTTTCTGTCTACCTCCTTTTCCTCCTTTCTCACTCTATACCTGTCTTATAACCCCCAAACGTCTGCGTCATCTGTGATAATTCTTTATTATCTGACATTTCACTTTATTTCCTTTTACAAGGATAAACGTTTCTTTACAGTATACAACTTTAGGCGGTCGTTTCGAAAAAGAAAAAAAAAGATGTACGGTGTTTTAAACGTTAGCTGTTCTCTCTTATTCGCTCCGTCGCACCGTTTCTCTTCCTTCTGCGAGCGCGACGGTCGCTGCTCGCGCCGTCTCGCTCGAGCCTTCCCAGCTCGTTCCGAAAAGAATCCTCCGTGATACGCAACAGGTTATCGAAAGGCACCCGTGTGCGCGCTCGCCGCGGCGCATATATACACAAATATGTAAATGACATTTGTATACACGCGCGCGCGCACACATACACACATACATACACAACACACACGACACTCACCGTGCTCGGCGACCGCCAAGGATCCAGCCAGAAGAGCGCACAGAACAACTAACAGCAGGGAGATCCACGTCGACCTTCGACGTCCGTTTGCACCTTCAAAGTAGCACCATCGTTCCTCCTTATGCGCCATAATTGCGTCAACTTTGACACGACGAAGGTTTCTAATCCGTCTCGTCTTTCCACTTTACGGTAGTTATATCAACGTGTGCGGCGTGAGTTCCCTCGATAGCACACTCGCAGACGAAGCGAGTACGAAGCGGAGCGCGACGGAAAAACGGTGAACGCGCGCGCGCGCGGACACTATTACGGCGGCGGCGGCGGAAGAACGTGGAAGGATGGAACGAGGGACGGAGAGACGCACAAAGGTGCGGGTGGCGAAGGGAGAACCGGATGGTGAGGAAAGACAGGGGATCAAAGGGTGGACTCGGATCTCGCGGTAAAGAGAGAGAGAGAGAGAGAGCGAGAGAAGAAAACGGGAGAGCGGAGGGAGAGGAGTTGATTGCGCCGCCGCGCGAACGAGTAAGCGGTTCTCGCGGGAAGAAGAGGATGTTCCGGAACGGAATCGGTGGAGTGCACCGGCGGAAAAAGCGCGTCTCCTTCGAGATCCTCCTTACCGCTCCACGTAAATTTTGCCCGCGCGAGAACGCGCGCTGTCGAACGAAACGGGCCGAGCGCCAAAAGCGATTTCCTAAGAGTTACGCGATACACTGACGAGACCGAGCGAGAGTCTACTCGAACGCGAAAAGCTGGTCCTGAAGCGCGACTCGCTCTTCAAACCGGTACCATCCGACGACGAACCACGACGACGACGACGGCGGCGGCGGCAGCGACAGCACTCGCTTACGACGCGAACGGCATGCTCGCTCTCACTAGTCACTCGCCGCGCTCGCCAGTCTCTCTCGCCCACTCCGGAGCGACCTCGAGAGTATCTAGATGATCATCTAAGTAAACGCGCTTACATGCCAGATAATGAATTTTGCGCCAGAACTCGCGCAAAATTCATACACTCGACTCGTTTCAACTCCGCACCGTTGAATGATGATTGCGATATCTATAGAAGATCGTTCTTAGAAACAATGAAGAAATTGAATTAATTAAAAATTAATTGAAATGACAAAGCCGTAATTGCAAAAATAAAAGTTATATATTAACAATGGGTTAAATATTAATGAGATAAGATAAATTTTTTTCTTTTAAGCTCTCGATATATCATATTTATAAACGCGTGTAGACTTGAATCAATTCCTGTCAAATAAAAAATTATCTTTTCGGAAAGTAACGCGCCATGAAATTTTCTTGTCGATAAGAAAGACAACTATTGTATCGAAGCAAGATAATACCAGCTCATTACAAGAGGAAGATATTTTATTGCAAATGATTTTTTCATATATTAACCTTATATATTTATTAAATTATTATTTGATGACGTAAGAAGCAACGCGCTAGTTTTCCACGTCTAGTGAAGAAAGAAAAACCGATATTTGTCAATAAACAAACAACTTATTATTTTTTTTATACACACCTGCAAAATATCCTTTTTTATGCATTCAGGTGCTTCGTTTATCGAGCGAATTTCGAGCATCCTAAAACTTTCAGCGAGAAAGTTGTTCATTCGGATATGAACAAATGTTCTGGAAAGTTTCATTTTCATTGCATTAATAAGTTTAAAACTAATGATTTGTTTAAAGTTGGTAGACGCCTTGCACTCAGAGCCGCAGCGCACAAGACGCGCTGTCCGTTATTCAAGGTCCTAATATATAAACAGTCACAATTGTGACTGTTTGCTGTCTTAACAATGGCCCCGCGTAAGTGTTTAAATGATCCTAACAGTTTTTGTTATATTTGTGGTCGTTTCACGTTTGTTAAGAACAGGAACGAAAAAGACGGGAAAAACGGTTACGCAAGTGGGTTAAAATGCCCGTAACTTGGCGAAAAAAAATCGTAGGTAGTTGATCAATATCTCATTTTGAAGGGTAAGAATATTACTAAATGATGCAAATAGCACAAAAGACCCAAAAAATTGGTTGCGTCCTGTACATAACCTCTAAAGTAGCATAAAAACGCATTTTTCGAGTATATATCCCCTAATATCTCAAAATCCTGACGTGATGGGCCAATTCTGGTTTCAGATTCGGATTCTACGCAGAAAATTACTTCGGAAATGACCCACAGCTTCCCGACAACATCCAAGACCCCCTTTTTTGTAGACCTGTGTTATCGATTGAGACTTTCAATCATGTAATTGTCTGTGAACCGGCGTTCGTGGAACAAGGAACTCGTGGAAGCAACTTCAAGCGAAGAAAGAACTTCTTTGTGAGGTGAATTGGGAGGTGATACTGATGATATTGGAGATATCTCCATAAAATCGCTCCGAGAATCCTTTAAATACGAAGTGTCAATCAAGTGATGTTGTCCAAAAATTGCCTGAAAAAATTATAAATTCTTTTAAAAATTTAGAAACTTATAAAATTAAAATATGAAAGAGCACCTATAGCCTTAAAATAAAAATAAAATATAAAGAGATTCCCGATAATTAAAATAAAGTACTAAAAAAAATTGGAGTCGGCGCGATAAGAAATGTGCAGTTAATTAAAAAATATAATATTTAGCGGATTAAGTCCAACTAATTACATAACTTACAATATTAAATACATGATCTCTCATGTTTTATCTTTTTCGTCATGACGGCTCAAATGAAGCCAAAACGTTCGAGTTAGAAATAATAAGATTAAAATGCCATTCAAATTAAAACAAAAATCCAAATTAGAGAAGTTCTCTTTCTCTCTCTTATTCTTTAAATCTCCTGATTTTACCGTGACGTTCGTTTTATCCGAAAACGTTCGATGGCATTGCTTGATGTCAGCATCGCGTGGGAATGACAGGGTCGCGCACACTTGTTGCCTCTGTCGATTTTTCTTCCGTAACATGTACGATCTGTCGGTCGTACGACGGATGCGATCTACATCGTCCAACGCTTCCAGGGTCGGCGCCAACTTGGAATCGCGTATCCTCGCGAGTTCGTCTTTCTCTAAGATTTCGTCTGTTCTCTTGGCCATTGCAATCAACTTTCTCTGACGGTCCTCGATTGAAATGCCCCACGAACGGTGCCACTGCACCATGTGGGCGATCAGATGCGCGTCCACACTCAATGGTGTGACGCCGGTCTGCTCCAAGTATCTGCTAAGCTCCGTCCACATCTGACCGAGCTTCAGTCGTAGATACATGTCGGCGCAACATAGTGTTATCTAAAAAAAATCCGAACACAGTTATTCATTCTGATGTAAAAAATTTGATATTACTATGTTGGAGCAAATGGTCTGATCAAGGATAATGTATCTTACGTGATCTTTCGTTGGCAATTCGTCAAGTAGAATCTTATAATGCTTCCTAGCGATTTCGTATTTGTCGCCGTCTCTCTCGATTATTTTCAAAATACTGAAGATTTTCGATCGCACCGATCCAATCATGTCGGTTATAGTGGGACTAGCGTCTTCCGTAAGCTCAAAACGATAAGTATCTATCCACTGCTTAGTGCCCATCTGAGGAAATTCAGGATCTGAAATTACAAACAAATTTAATTACGTATAATTAAAAAAATTTGTTTAACTTTTTGTTTAAATTTAATCCTTAATTTACATAAATAATTAAAAAATGTTTAGATAGATATATTTCTTAAATAAAGAGAGCTTCTCTGTTTTCCCAATTATCGAAAATATTCCGTATTTTTACGTCCAGAGTTTTAATTAATTTTAAGTGATTTTAAAGAATTTAAGCAATGTTAAATTAAAGTAGATTTTCTGTAAAAAAAAATGTCTTCGTATATAAAGCTCGACGTTTTAATTCGCGAGATTGTACCTATGGAACCGTCGGTGCGTCTTTTGATGCCAATCCTGTCTTCCTCTTCTCGCCAAATACTCATGAACAAAGACATCAGACCTGTCTTCTTATCAGCACCTCTCCAGGTGCAGAGACATGGTCCGCAAAAGGTGCTATCGCACATATCAGTTAGTGCACCGAGATACAAACACCTTACAGGATAGCTCGCGACTTCAATGATGTCCAACATAGAATATAATCCACCGCCGTTCAAGAAAATTTGAAGATTCTCAGGACATCGCACTATGCATTTCCAAACGTAAGCGCCTATTGCTAACAACAGTCTGTCGAAAAAAGAGAGATAAAAAAGTTTATTTATAACACATTTACTTCTATTTTTCATTTCAATACGTAATTTTTTTCTAAATTCAGTACGTACGTTTTTTAAATTTTACAATAGCCTTAATATTTATAATCATTGACTAGTAATTTGATAATACAATTTATTAATTAACATAACAAATTAATTAAATTAATATAGAAAATTACAATAAAAACTGTCAAAGTAATATTTATGTGAATTGTATTTGTTTAACAGCAATATTACCGCTGATCTACTTGAAAATCCTCCTTTCTTTGATGTAGACACATTGCGAATATTTCTAAAATAAGCTCGACGCTTCGTCGTTCGCACATCTGTTGAACAGACATTTGTTTTTTCGTAAGCCCTTCTAGAGAGATCAGTAGCAATGTTAGAATTCGTTGCCTCCTCATCGTAAGCTTATCTAAATTCATTATATTACTGAATAATTCTGAAATTAAAAAAAATAATATTTATCAAGAATTCAAAGATCATTGTAAAAAAATTACATCAATTTTTATATTTGTCTATGAAATAATTTATATCTCTTACTAATTAATAACGGTATCATTCCGTGTTTTTGAAAATCTTCCACGAGAAGAACATTGTCCTGTAGAATTATCGAGCAAACAGATCTCGTAAAAATCATCGCAAGATACTCGTCGAATTCCACATTCAAAATTTGCTTAAGCATCACCAATAATCTATGAGTATTAAAATTTATTTCATCTGGCTCTAAATTAAAATCCGATTAATTTTTTATGTTTCTTTTACATAAAAGTGCCTCTGCTCTTCACAAATTCCGTTTCCATTCGTGGAGCTAACAGTGATAAGATATACATTGCACGCTCCAAAAGAATTAGCGACGGAGAAGATCTTTTATCTTTTTTATTGCTCATGCAGAATTTAATGATCCGGAGAAGAACTGGCATAATCATCTCTTTGTCCATCACCTAAAAAATTAAAAAGTCAATTATCTGTCAATATATGTTTCTTAAAATTTAAAAGTAACATACGTTTTTGTTAAAATAAGTATGTTTTGATTGAATCTTTAATCCTAGAAAAATCATATTTAAAAAATAACAAGTTCAAAACATCTTTTACATTTTTTCTGAATTTTTCTTTTATTATAATATTGTTTAAAATTTTTTAAATAAAATTGATGCGAATAATTTACGAAGACGTAAACGTCGATATCGGCGAGACAAGCGATGATCATCAGCAGGGTTTTTTTGAAGAAGAGATTCTCATCACTGTCGGAGAACTTAACATTTTCCGTCCATATTTTAGTCGTGCCAGATTCAATTGCAGATAAAAGATTGACGATATCTCCCGCGATGCCACTACTGACAAGATCCCATGATGGTAAAGCCACGATTCCAGCGAGGATCAATGCGGCGATGTCGTTCCTAATCCTCAAATTGGCGGCGCAGTATTGACCGCGAAGTATCTGTCGCTTGAAGGAATACCTTAAGCCCCTGTACTGCGTCAGAAATCATATACTTTATGTTTGATAGCTCATTTTTATTAAAGAGGAAGCTATAATAATAAATACATAAATAAAATCGGAGTAAAAGAATAATATTTTATAAATTTAAAAAAAAGAATAATGTGTCTATATAATAAAACTGAATAAAATTTATTCTATGGTTATTTTTCTATTATATTGTCTTTAAATTTTTAATTGCTAATCGATTAAGGTTATCAATAAATGATACCACATGGCGCATTGTTTAGGCGATGGGAGGTCCTTCAGGTGTTCTGGTAGCGTTTTCGAAGATAACACCGATCTCATGAGGCTCCACAAGAGTTTCATTATCAAGAGCATGATGTTCCACGGATATTCCTCTCCCTCAAGAGGTATGTCCAGCGGTATGGTGCAGCGAAGTTGCGTCGCATAAGGAAGGTCCATCCTGGTTAATAGCGTGTTCAGTATCCCGGCCTGCAGCATTCTGTGACCTTTATTCGTAAACGTAAAGTTATAGTCTATGTACATAAAACGAGAGACGCCAGAGGCATTCTTTCCAAAAACCATCTTTGCTTTAATATCCCGGCATGCGTGTTATTCCTTGGAATAATATTTGAATAAAATATACGTTTAATGTAAGCATTCGGTATAGTGTTCTGCTAAATTTCTTTTGAAACTTTTTGCCTTTAAGAAACTCGAAATATATTCTTTAAAAAATATTCTTTCTGCTCAAAATGTTTAAGAAATATTTAAGAAAAATTTAAATTTAAATTAAATTAAGAAGAGCAATGTTTTTCTAATAATTTAAACAATATATAAAATATCTCGATTCATGGTTACTCACAACATTGATTTGAGATCGAGGCGACCATATAAGTCAATTCCAAGATCTTCGGATATATCTTTGGCATAGCAGCCTCCAACAGTTCGATGATGATAATTGGCAATCTAGAATTCTCCATAGCTCGACGACGAAAATCTAATTTTACTGCCGCAACGTTCATCGGTTTCGTCTGCCTAATTAATAAACAATCAAGAGCCTCGTGGATCTGTTGGACATCTTCTTCATTGGGCAAGATTGTTAGGAGATAACCGAGAAACGTAAAATAGTGCTCTATTACGACAGAACTAATGAGACTCTCGGAAGCTTGTTTCAGCAAAGGTGGTTGACTGCATAACTGCAACATCCTATCCAAATGCTCTCGATAGTCGTTAGCTTCTCTGCTGTTCCAGGCTAGAAATTCTAATATCTTCATTATAGACGGCAGGTGTTTGACTGGCTGTGAAAGGTGTCTTTAAGAAAACACACTTAGAAACGATTAGAAAACGTCGAGTGAACTGGAGCACTTTGTGCAAGTGAAAACAAAATAGATATAACAAAGTATAAGAAATTAATTTTCAATAAATTTTTATTAATTCTTAAATAATACTTTCGTTACAAACGATATTGTTTCAGGCCTTAAAGATTTTTATTAATTTTTATTAATTAATTATCCTCGAAAATTAAGAGGTCTATTTTTTATTGCTGCACTTTCTGAACTAGTACACATAGTGCAATAAAAAACAACTAATGTAAATTTTACGTTCCTAAATTACAATTTTTTAAAAGCAAGTGTAACATTTTCTATTTTGTCAGATAAACATTAGCAGGTTTTAATAATTCTCAAAGAGATTCTTATTTTTAGTACGTGTAGATTAAAGGATACGTAACCATCGTTGCCGATTTCACGCAAGTAATCATATAAAAGTCGTGATATCCGCTCGACATGATCGTTGGTGACAGAATCCGACACGAGTTGTCGCAATTTCTCTACAGTATAATCCACATCTATTCGGCGGCATTTTTCTGCATCGTTCAAATATAATGAGGGACAATCACAATTCACGTATTTCGGACAGACCGACTTCTTGGTGGCAAAACGATGATCTTGCCGTTTCCGTTCCATTCGTGCTTAATCAAGGAAAAAATGGTCATACAAATTACATAGCAATCATCGGTCTTGCTTGAACATTAATCATTGATAATAAATTAACTTCGCGTTGCAAATCGATTGTATCTTGTTTCGCTCACGATATACTTTTTCTGTTGAATGCAGCCGATGATTGCAAAGTTGTCAGGTTCGTCCGTATGATACATTATTATATTATACCGATAAATTAAGACAGCTCGATGAGATGAGAAAAGCACCAAAAGAAAGATTCACGCAAACCGGTAACACGTGTTTGACGATTAATGAGAAGCGATATTCGCATTAAAACTGTAATCACATATAGTAATAATTACATTAATCAGATTTATTGAAATTTCAGAGGGTTACATTTTATAGAGATGAAATAAAACAGCGAAAGAATATTTTTTATGTCTCATTAATTATTTTATTTAAATGTATATAAATTGTGTTAAATAGGCGTGACGAGATAAATTAATGAAAAAATAACGTCTCTAAAAGTAACAAAAACTCTTATCTACAGAATTTTATGTAAAATATAAGTATTATATATAAATATTGTTTGCACAAAGGAAGCGGTGTAGGTAAAGATAATAATCCACTAACTGGCGCTCCCTGGACGCTAACACGCCAACTCACAAGTGGATGAGACGAGCCTTTCCTTTCTCCTTCAAATTATGCTATTCAAACATATTCTCTTATGATTGTGTAATCCATCATCCAAATCGTCCAAGAAATACGGAAACATGTATATGAAAACATCCTTGTAAATCGATACTTGTTGTTAATCAGTATTTGTACAGTAATTAAATTGCAAAACTTTTTTCACGTCTCCACAACACGTTGAAAAATTTAACCGTAAACGGCAGGTGTCTTCACACACATACATACACATACAAATAATAGAATTCACTTGATATAGGATGTTAAAAAAGAATTACAGATACATATTTTATTCTTAGCTTTTCTGATCAAATTGACATAAAAATTTTATTAAATATTATTTTCCTTTAATTTTTTAATTTCTTACAGTTTCATTAACGATTTTAAATATTGAATATTTAAATTATATGTTTAAAAATTCTGTTTGAGTAAAATCTGTTTTGTGTATGTAAAATTAAACAAATCAGAATCTATTATGGTGCCTTTTCATGCTGACGCTCGACACTCATTTTTAGCGTCAAAATAGATCACGTGATCAAAATTGACATTTGATATTCATCAATTCCTATCGCGTGACTCCAAAAATGAGCGTCGAGCATCAGCACGAAAAGGTATCTTTACTTGTCAACAATCATACAGATTGTTTTGTGAAAAACCAATCATCTTTATCGTTTATAATTTAGAGCAAGTTTTTCTGAAGCAATCCTCTTAAGAAGAATTTTCCTTCCTAAAGTTTGTATCTGCAATTTCCTGACACCCTGTATACCGAGTAAGATTCTTGTCTCAGAGAGACAAGAGAATTCCATATGCTGATGGCGAAGCATGCGCGTTTCGTTTGATCTTTCCGCATTCGTATTTTTCCGCACAATCGCTTTTCCGGAAAGCGGGAAAATTTGATTTAAAACCGGAAAAAATTAGCTTCATCTTCTCTCTACTCGATTCGTTTCATTTCGCGTCATGTTACTTACTGATCGGCGAGACTTGGCCAGATGCGTTGAACGGGCAATCTGTCCTATGGCGGTTACAGTCACAATCGTATACACACACGCAATTGTCTACACGCACGCACGTATGTACGCACTCACACACAAGAAGTGAACGTGTGCTCAGGGCCGACGTTAAGCTGGAGTATAAATGATCACAAATTTACATATGCGTGATATATAAATAGATATAGGTATATATTCTAAATAATAAATAACGAAATTATCTTGAAATTAATTTCGTTAGATTAGGGATAAAAATTAATTAAAAAGCCGCAATTATTATTTTATAATTATTCTATAAATGATAATTAAATGTTTGATAATTAGACTTAAACTATAAAAATTATTAGACATAGGACAATATTCGTCATTGTGGATCTTATTTTTAAGACTGTCTTAAAACTCGAAATGATATTTGATTATTTTATTAGCTGGATGAAAGACTTTTGTGTGTGAAATCTTAAATAAAAATAAAATAAAAAATGGAACCGTGAACTAAAACGAGGATTCGTGTATTATAATTCAAGATTATATTAATTAAAGTTAGAATTGACGTCAGTTCTAACTCAATTTTAATCTGCTGAGCCTAGTTAGATTTACGATTTTAATCTTAAATAAGAGATCGTGTTACGAATATTGTCCATAATTATAGATTTAATTATACAGAATTACGTAGATTACATAAGTGAGTAAATATTTCTTTTTGAATCATATGGAAAATCGAAGATGGAAATAAATTCAGGATTCGAACTCTAGACGAGGGTTTCAAGATCTTCGCCTACGTCACTAGCCACAACACAGGTGTGAGCGCGCGCACGCGCGCATCGTGGCCGCTCGCGTGCGCGTGTAAAGTCGAAGACCAAAGTAAGCGAGCGGCGACGACGGCAGTCGCGACGCTGACGCGAGGCGGTGTATCGCGCGGTGCGCGAGTTTGCCTCGCGATTTTCATCCACGCGAACGAAGGCAGTATCGCGCTTCATTCGAGTACTCCAGGTGATACCGAAGGTCTAAATTGTGAAATAGAAAATTTGGCACGGAGATGTGACCAATTGTTCAACAACGGCGACCTTGGCGGGACGGTGAGTGACCTCTGCGACGCCGCTCTTCTTCCTACTCTTTTGCGCTGCCGGAGCACACGCGTGTGTAAGAAGCGTCTTCTTCTTCTTCTATTCCTGCTCCTTCTTCTCCCCTCGGTTATGCATCGTTGTATAGGTATTTTCCCACGGGAAAAGTGACCTTTTAATTGCCACGGTTGCCGGTTAACGAACCGGGTCTCATTAACGAGTCTCTCTTTCCCGCGTGGTTTTTCCACCGATGGGAGAAACACGCGCGCTGTCAATCGATGACATGCAGACTGTCGGAATAGACTTGTAGAAAAATACTATACTATTAAAAAAGGAAAATCGTCAAAAATACTCTTAATTGTTGTTTATAAAATACGAAAAGTTTATTTACGAAAATCTAAACATTAAAAATGTGAAAATTTCAAAATTTTTTTAAATACGAAATGTTGATGGTTTGGAAAATTTAAAGTTTTATTTTAAGAAACTTCTTTTAGGAGGAAGAAGAAGGGAGAGAAAAAGATTCTATTATTTTTATTATTTTATCAATTTCAATTAATCACTACAAGTGTATCTTGTATTATTATCTTTTAATATAACACATGATATTTATGTTATATAAAATAATTAAAAATTAATCTCTAAATAAAGAATATATGAAGAAAGAAAAAAATTATAGTAAAGGATATAGTAAAAGATTACTTTATTGTTTTATAAATTTATTTTGATAAATATTTATAAAAAACACATCTTACGAGTTTCATCGCTAAGTTTGAAATTGTAGGAATTCAGAGCGAGAATGAAGTAAATTGATTTAAAAGTCTTACGATCCGACATTGTATTTAAAACGATATTGCTTTATTTTTGCGCTCACCCTCTTGCTACTTAAATCTCTCTTTAAATTCGAAAAAGAAAAAGCCCTTAAAAAGACTTGACCAGATCTCGCCCCGAGAAGAAACGCGCTGTCTCGGGGGAAATCCGATTCGGAGAAGACCTAAAACGAAAGACCTGTCGGGGAGAAAGCCTCCCTTGTTACGACACGCGTTGCGACGCGTACGTTCCTCGGGCGAGCGAATCAATATTTGGAGGGTAGGCGTTTGCGTCCCGACGAACGGCGTCGAGGCCGACAGAACGTGAGTCACTCACCCCTGTAGCTGTCCGAGAAAGAGAGAACGAAGCAAAGAGAAAGGGGCTGCTGACCTCCCTTTCGCCCCTTTTTCTCGTGTCCGATACGCAGCAGCCCTCGTTACGAAAGTCTCATTTTTTCTCGCAGATGTAAGCCGTTCGCTCATTTTTATTTTTATTTGTTTTAATTTTAATAGTTATTAATTTGAATAGTCGCAGATTTTCCGAAGATTTATCTTTATGAATGTAACAACACGAAACAAATATGTTAAATGTTAGAGATGTGCGAACTATTCGAACACGAACTATTCGAAAATTTTGAATCTATGGCGGATATTCATAGTCGGTTCCTATTTTAAGACCATCTTAAGTAATGTCTTAAGATGCAACTAATGCGATTGATTTATAACATCTTAAGACTCTGAACTTAAGACAGTATTAAATATAAGAATCAAATATATAGTAAATATAATATATATATTGACAATCTTATACATATACATGCATATATATATATATATATACACTAGGTGTTGACCAATAAAATTATAAATATTCTAGTGAATGTTTGCTCACTTTTGTAATTTTCAAGATACACAATCAACTTTCAGATTCCAAATAGAATTTGATTCGATTCGGAATCGATTCGAAGTTAAAAAAACCTTGATTCTCACACATCTCTATTAAAATGTATTAATTGCATCAATTTTTGTTTTTTATTGTTCCAAGATCAATTATTTACTTTAATACGGAATTTATCATTACTAGATTCATGTTATATAAAAAAATACAATTCATAAAGTATGATTGAATTAGATTTGTATATATAAAATTATGTTGAATTTAATTTAGATCCGAAAACCAAATAGAAATTCTTTAAAAAATCTCAGTATACAATATTTCGTAAATGTGTAAGGATATTATGTAAATTGTTTCGTTTTACGATGCGGACTTTGCCGCACGATGCCGCAAATCGATCCATCACACATGAATACCTTCTTTAATTGAGACACTCGTCGGGTTTTCGGATGTCCCGGTCAAACGATCAGCCAGCTGTTACGAACGCACTAATTTACAAGCGAGCTCAGCAGAAGCGTGAAGCCAAGTACGTGCGCGCCTAAGTAACCCATTCGTGCGAGAGACGCGCATGTACGTTATATATACATGCGGTGAGAACAGGTTCCACATAAAATCAAACGTTCCTCCCTTATCCATGCCGGGCATCTTCGCTGCATTGTAGCATTGCACGCTGCCGCGCATCGATACGGGTCGTCGCTTTGAGAAACCTTTCCAGATTTTTCAACCCCGAAACGATTTCGAGATAATCTCGAGATATACGGCTATGTATCGCATAAATCTGATTGAATCAACGAGATATGTCGAAGACTATCATTAGGTCTAAATATAAAAGAGCCAAAATCTCTTTCTAAGAAATATATAAAAATTTTACGATAAATCAGATCTGCATATTTTTTACGTTGCATTACTTATACTTTACCATATTAGTATACATTTCAATTTGGAATTTATGGATAAAATATAAATAATATCAAAAATATGCAGATCTGATTTATCGCAGAATATTTATATTTTTCTTAAGTATTAAAAATATTTAGATCTGATTGTCAAAGGATATTTATAAAATAATTCAATAATTAGATCCGTGCATTTTTGATAATGCATTATTTGATCTATAAATTTCAAATTGGAATGTCATGCAAATTATATTTTATCCATAACTTTGAAATTTATGAGTATAGTATAAGTAATGTAATATCAAAAATATGCAGACCTGATTATCGAAGAATTTTTACATATTCCTCGGAGAGAGATGCCGGCTCTTTTATTACCACTTACAAAACCTGATGATAGTTTTCGTTTTCGGTATCTCGTTGATTTGATCTCGTTATGCGTTTCCAGTTAAAAAACTGGATAATTAAAAGATTGTAACATCTCTTGCGAAACAAGTAAGATTTGGTAAGAGATTATTTTTGCATGCACATTATTGAAAGGATGTTATTATGTAGGAAATCGAAGCTAGCCGCCGAAATATCATGCAATACTCTCGTCGGCGCCGGTGATATCGATGCGTGTTTCGCGAGGTGTCGCGTCGCGTTGGCGACGAGAAACACCGCGATCGCGATCGTATACGCGTCGCAAATCGATTTCGGTCGGATTTGCGCGAGTTCACTCCACGCCCAAGCAAATCCGATGACGATCCCGTTTCTATCTGGCCACCGGTAACGAGCGAAACGAATACCTCGCGGTAATCCTCTCTTTCTCCCTTTTCCTCGACCTTACCGTTACGCGAATATGGTTTTGTACTCGCGCGTAACGGTACGGATTGTGACCGCCACACAAATAAAGAGATTTCTTCGCAAATGTTGCGACCGTGTCGTCGTAAAAGAATGCAGTGCACAACGCATCCGTTTCAGCCTCGACATCGGGTGCATTCCTTTCCTTGCCCCCCTTTTTCCACGCTGTCATTCGCACGTCTTTTCCTCCGACAATAAGTGGAGTGTTGGCGAGTTAACTTCGCTGCTGGAAGCCACAGCTTGAAAATTTCCTCGGTGATTGTGTCTATTAAGGTCGTCAAGTGAATCTAAACACGGAATATAGATATATATTTCTTCATTTTGGATAAATCTGTTTATTGCTGCAATCGTATATCAAAATTTAAATTGCAGATAATTACAATAATTCAAATTTATTCGTAATATTCAGGTGTAATTGAGGGGATTGACGGAATAAAGGCACAATTCTACTTAGGCCCTTTTTCCGAAGATTAGAGCAAATAAACAAGGAATTGATGTTGCTTACATTAAATATGAACGTGTTTCGATTGTCTTGTGGTGGTGAAAATGATATAATCTATGGAAAAAGAACACAAATGATTTGAAACTGTTAATGAGATTTTTATCAGAGACTGAATGAAAATGGTACGACAATAATGTGTTTTCATTACAACATATTTATGTTAAAAAAATTTTACGAAAACTCACCAGATGATGATTGAACATTATTTCAATTTATTTTGTACAAGTAAAAGTAAAATATATTTCATATTCATTTTGTATTTCTTCCAAAAGAATGTGAAAATAAAAAACTTTTCTGCAGTTCAAACTTTTCTTTCTGTCGATTCTTACAATATTATAATCAATATTCGGAAAAAGGGACTAAGTGCATTTTTTAAATTGCAAATAACTTTTTAAATATTGATCATAATAGAGAAATATTATAACATATAACTTTTCAAATTATATAAATATATATATATTTAATACTGTTTCCATTTGTGGTATAATAAAAAAATAACACGTTATTTTAATTTTTATCAAAATCAAGATTTTGTAATTAGGCCTTTATTCCGTCCATCCCCTCAATTATTTAGCGGTGATGATTAAAAGATAAAAAAACAATTAATGATTTACACGATATGATAAACCTGAAAATGATGCGAGTTGCGCATTAGATACGCCAGCGCGCGCCTGATCGCGTGACTCTCGGGGCCTTTATTTCCTTTTCTTACTCGCAGATTTCCTTTTATCAATCAAAATTAATGCCTAGGAGTAGGACATAAATCCAAGAGAAAAATTGCGCGACGTTTATATGTAGTTCTGAAACCCCAGTGGAATCTAAACACGCCATCGATTGCGTGACTTTCTCTAAATCGCTATAATACTTTTTTCCTTTATTTCGTGAATACAGAATTCCTCTATTATCTCTCCTCTAATATACTATTTTACTCGCATTTTCAAATAATATATAATATATATATTATTTGAAAATGTGAATAAAATAATAGAGGAAGAGATGTAATACACGTTTCTGTATTTTTAAATAAAGATTTATCTAAATAATGCCCAACTGGACGCTAGCGCGGTTGATTGTGA